AACGGTAAGTCAGACCGCCAAAAACGGACAGGGCCAGTAGGTGAGAAGCACCCTGCTGATCCAGCAACGTCAAGAGAATTTGTAGGACTCTTGACGAAGATTGCTCCCAACACACAGTCGCTGTGTGTTACTTCCCCCTATTGATGGGGAGTCTCTCATAACTTTGAATATCGAAGTGACAAGTGGTATGTCACTTCGCGCCTTTGTTGACTGTGGGGCGTCGAACAGATTTATTCGACGCTAGTCGCTAGAAGATAGCAAAATTATACTATGCTTAGCTAGAGTTCCCTCCAGCGAGGATGACGGTGTGCCTTGCCAAAGGGGCATCCGTAACAGTGAACAAGCGTGTAGTGGATATCCCCTACACGCTAGAAGTAAAGCAGTACGATAATGACTTCATTGCACTGGATTTAAATGAAGAATTTGATGTTATCCTAGGAATGCCACGGCTCAAAAGATACGAGCCATTAATCCTATGGCAGCATCGATCCGTGAAGATGCCTGCCGTTTGTTCATCAGATGACCATTTAATGGACGCCTTGGAGCTTCCAAAAGCGTGTGGATGTACCTTGAGTGGCTGCGATTGCCTCACTTGTGGTACTGTCGTTAATATGACTGCACAAGATCACAGTGTAGAAGGCCACTACACTCTGGAACCAGCTTCCGGCACCTGTGCAGAGACACACAATGCGCCGAAAATTGACCACTCGAAGAGATCTAGTGTACCGGAACATGGATACAAACCAAGAAGGGTGCATACAAGAAGAGAGATGAGTTTTGTTCAGGATGAACAGCATGTCGAGGCAAGATCGAATAACAGAGAGTCAATCGTAGAGCAAGCCTGATCGACTGAAATAGAGTCGATCGAAGTGGACATGACTGTGGTAGTGCACCCACAGTCAGTACACATATTGTAAGAAAAAGCTCTAGCTTTTCTGATGTTGATAACACCCGAGAGAGTTATGCTGAGGGTGTGTTTTCCCCTAATTATCTGCGAATGTATTTTCCCAGGAAATCACCGAGACACTGAATGTCATGGTGAATGACGGATTAAGTGTAGGCGCTTATACACTTGATCTGGTTACACTTCCGACGTCAGCTCCGGAGGTAATCAAGTTGCCTACGCTAGAATCTAAAATTTTATTTGCGAGATCTGCGTAGTGACAAGATCAAGCAGATCTGTGTACTCGTTACAGAGAACGAGTACGTCGCCGATATTCGGTCTGCACAAGTTTTACTGGGAAAGAACGGGTTCTCAGTAGCTCATCTATGGATGAGAGTGTCCTCGATCAGAAGACCCGGATTGAGCGATACACGTCTTAATCTTAGGAGTCTTTGAATACGAATCCTTTGTACAAGGATTCGGTTGAATTCAGGGATTTTTCCTAAATTCGTGCCATGCGAGCTGCTTAAAGGCAAAGGCACTCGACATGAGATCGAATGAAATCCGATTCGAAATACTATGTCATGAAGCAGTGGTCACTGCCTCGTGGACAGGTCACAGCGATCGACATTTTCTTTGCCGATCGTTTCGCGGCTGGTCATTTGAGGGAATCAACATCCCCACACAGCTTTCTGACCTTCTGTGTGCGAAAGGCCACAGAAGAGTGGTGGATAGCGCATGCGCTCAACAAATTGAACGCTGCAACGGTACCTGCTCAAATGCCGATACCGAGGAACGACGTCATCATTGATGGTATGGCAAAAGTATCATCTTTTCGTCCATGGATCTGATGGATGAATTCTGTCAGATACTCATGCGTGAACGGGACATCCCGTACACAACAGTGAGCACCCCCAGTGGTATGCTCTGGGAGTGGCCAGTGATGCCACAGGGCTAAGTAACGCCCCCGCAGCGTACGACCGATGTGTTACGAATCTGTTAAGACCGGTGCGAGATTTTGCACCGAGTTACTTTGACGATTTCTTCGTCCATAGCCGGGATATCAATGGAAAGACGGACGTGGATGTCCATCGAATCCACTTCCTGGCGGCTCTTAAACTAATGCGAGAGCATAAGTTGTTCGCGAACCTCAAGAAGTGTGTATTCGCAGCGATAGCAATACCACTTCTTGGCTGTATCGTGGGTAAAATGGCGTACCCCTGATCCGGAAAAGATCAAGGTGATTAGCAACTGGTCCGTGCCAGTTGACGTCAAGGGACTTCGAAAGTTCTTTGGCTTAGAGGCGTACTTGCACAAATACTCGCGCATCTACGCCGAGATAGCCGCATTTCTCTTTCTTCTGCTAAAGAAAAACGAGAGTTAGTCATGGAGTGCTGAGTGTCAGCATTGCTTTGAAGGCATCAAGAAAGCTTGATACAATCGCCTGTGTTGGCGATTGCAGACCAGGACAGACCATTCCATGTGGTCTGTGACGCCAGCGTTTTGCGATCGGCTGCGCGTTAATGCAGTACGACCTCAGACGGCGTTGAGCGCGTCGTTTGCTATCAGTCGCATCAGCTACAAGCAGCTGAGCGTAACTACCCAGTGTATTACAAGGAACTCCTTTCTATGAAATACGCTCTGGCTAAGTTTCGGTTTTATTTCTTAGGAGATAGGTCCTTCATCGTTTATACCGACCATGCGTCATTACGGACGGCCGTAAACAGTCCACACCTCTCGCAACGATCGTCGAGGTGGCTGTCTTTCTTCGCGTAGTACAAATTCTCCGTCAAGTATAAACCAGGCCGACTTAATGTCGTCGCTGATGCTTCTTTCGCGTCGGCCCGATTTTCGAGCCGACCGCTCAACCCAACAGTAGGGGTGATACCACTGTAGCAACACTTACAGTGAGTGTTCCGTCATCGAATCTGCTCGACGACGTGCGGAAGGCATACACAGAAGATTAGTTTCTTCTGCGATTGATGGATTACGTGTCTAATCCATGCAGTCAAGCTTTGAAAAGCTTGTCGTCTCAATACTCTCTCTTCAACCGAACGGCATTCGGTTCGTGATGGACTGCTGTGCTGTACAGCAGTCCACGGCGACACAACTCGAGTCCTCGTTCCGCCGCTTATGATGATTTGCGATTGCGCATGATGTATGAGTGTCACGATGCCCCAACCAGTTGGCATCGCGGTAGAGAAAAGACTTACCTCACGGTAAGTCGTGACTTCTACTGGTTCCGCCACTATGAGTTTTGCGCAAAAACATTCGCACTTGCGAAGTTTGCTAGCGGGTGAAGCCTATTCATTCATCCCGTGCAAACTTGCAGACTCTACCGATTCCGGCAGAGTGCTGGCAGTCCGTATCGATGGACTTCTTCTTTGGGTTTCCCAAAGACGCTCACAAGAATACTGATATTCGTGTGTTTGTTGATCGGTTCAGCAATATGGTACATCTTGTTTTTGTACCGGAGTAAATCACAGCCGCCCAGGGCTGTGCTCGTGTCTTCATCGATACTATCTTCCGACTTCACGGGTTACCCCGCAAACTCTTGTCCTATAGGGACCCCCGCCTCACAGCGGAGTTCTGGCAATCCATAATCCGTTCACTTGGAACACGTTTGAAGATGACAACTTCCGACCATCCAGAAACAGATGGTCAGACGGAACGCGTTAGCCGCGTCCTCGAAGAGATACTTTGAGGTTATGTCCACTCGTTAGCTAGTTGGAACGAGTTCGTGCCGATGGCAGAATTGCCATCAACAACTCCGTGCATGCGTCGAAAACCCATACACCGTTCTTCGTGAATGGCCTACGCCATCCACGTTTGCCCGCCTTCTTAGAGTTTGACTCTAGTTTGGGGGGGGACTCGCTCGAACGAACGATCTGGTTCTTGCTCATCGCACATCGACAATGGTGCAGACGCTACGGATGCCGATGTCGATCACATCGACATCTATTATGATGACGACGAGGATACTGGTATATTCATTGTCGCCAATGACTTCCCCGTGTGGAAGATAACGCAATCACTGGTGAAGACAACGTTCTGTCAGCAGTGCACACGAAGCGCACTCTTGTTAACAATAACAAATAAGCAGAGGGATTTCTGCTGACTCGCGTAGCGGTTGTTCGTACCATTTCAGACTCTGTTGCAGACGCAAGAGACAGACACAAAAGAAACGCAGAAAAACATGGAAGAGCAAATGTTCTTACACTTACGCTTCGAGGAAGCCTCAAAGCCTAAGTCTCAGGTCTTTAGTACTTTTAACTCTGTTTCAAACTTTGTCTTTTACTCATCCTAAACACCAATGGTTCCCTTGGACTCAAGGGAACCACTCAATCTACGTGCATATATCTTACTGGCTAATAAAGGTACAGAGCCCCTTAAACCAGCCAAAATATAGACGTGCTACTTTCGCTTCTTCAAAAGTAACACCCCTACTTAAGAAACATGTAAACTTAATCGAAACTACTTATGTAACGGGGTTACCCATTACATCACCCCCAACTCAAGACAGCACTTACGAACCGTGAGTGCTCAACCACAAGACCCAACGGACTCACAAGCCAAACGATGACTGAAGACGCAAACGCCAACACCACAGCACTCCCGCGCACTGTCAGCGATAGTTCGATTGACCACGTGATGGATAAGCACCTGATTCCATGAACGCTGAGCGAATTGTCCATAGCTCGAGCTCCGGACTCTCTTGAGACGATGCAGGATTACTTCCGGCGTTTCCGTGAATTGCGTGGGAAGAGGCTTGATGGTATCTCGTACGAGTCACTCCATCGGTCTTGGTGTGCATTTATACGGCGGTGGAACCGGATGCTCGAAGACAGAAAGAACTTTCAGCAGTGGCTTTTTAACAGCGAAGGTGTTTACGCCGATCACTCAATCGGTGTAATGCACGAGAAGATATGCGAGAATGCGTGGAACGTAGATCGACTCTGATACGTTCACATGCACGAATCTTGTTACTCTTGTGACTCGATGCCTCGTCCAACTCGCGAAACTTTCCAACGACACGTCGCTGATTATCCACTCAGTGAATGTGAGCAGCTCTGGATCAGACGGTATGAGCGCAGCTTGATGGAGCGCAAGACCGCGGTTAATCGTGGCGCGTCACGCTGGCGACACCACTCGCGTTCTCGAGGTCGTGGTGCCACGCGCTCGTCATGGAGTTCTCGTTCGCGTGGTCGTGGCGATACACGTTCATCACAACGTTCTCGTCGTCATTCTTCATCTCGTTGTTGTGGTGACGTTTCACCACGACGTTCTCGCAATCGCTCTTGGTCTCGTAGTCGTGGTGACGCTTCACCACGACACAGTCGTCGTTCGTCTCGTTCTCTCTCACCACGAGAACACTCAGGTCATCGACCAAATCTGAAATAAGCGTATGCGCGGACTCTTAAGCCCGAACGACGTCTGGAACGTCTCGAAGAAATGAAGAGCGCGGCTCCCACGTATCCTTCTCGGGTGGAAATCCGAGCCAACGCATACGATACTTGCGCGCGGTTGGAACCGTGCGCTCATGGAGTCGCGACGACCTCGTTTCGCGACAAGGGTCCTTGTAACCTAATAAGAGTTCCACGATACTGCTCTTCTGACCCTCTGCGTCCACAAGCGGTGGTTGGCCCTCGCGATGGTACTGCTGGCGTCCTGGTTGCCCAGGACGATGTAGACGCAGCTCTGAACAAGGCTGTCGATGCCCAGCTGGAAGCTGAAGCTGCCTTTGATCGAGCTGCGGGCTGAGAGAACAACGAGCGAGATTCGACAGTCGAACCGCGAGCTGCTTGAACGGATGCAGAACCTGGAACGCCAGATTCTTAGGCACGCGCAGGCTGGGACGCAGCCGCGTCTGATGTCGCTGTCGCGTCGAGCAAGGCGAGAGGGAAGGTTGACCTATGATGCTTTGAATCCGAGGGCGGAGCCAACCCGTGAAGCGTAGATGGACGATACTCCTTGAGCCGCCAAACGTAAAACGTGGGGTGAAGTCGTAGTGACGAAGGGATGTCCAGCTCGTATGCGTCACCGATCGCCTGTAGTACCGTGAATGGTCCGATGAAACGTGGCGCTAGTTTGCTCGCGCCGAGATTGATTACTGCTGAATCTCGTAGGCCTTCAGTAGATAACAATACACGATCACCCTTCTTGAATGCACTCGTGTTCTTTCTGCCACGTTTGCCTGCATTACCTTTCTGTTTATCCACTGCAGATCGAACAGTATCGCGTACAAACCTCGTGATGGCTTGACGTTGAATTTTTTTCTCTGACACAGCCATGTCATCAATTGGTCGCGCCAATTCAATCGGCGCGTAGTTGGCTTGAGGTCTTCGCATACCCGAAAAAGGGTCAGTCAGCGTCAGTGCAGTCCATTGAGCTAGCGGGGACGCCACGTCACGTGGCGTCAAAACACAATGCTTCATCTTGGATTGGGTGACAACATTCGCGCTCAGAATGCCGTGAGCTTTACTCAATAGTTGTTTACCACTATCACTCCCCGCCAGATCGGATCCACGAAGAGCTGTGGGTGGACCCACGGCAAGAAGTGTAGGTACACAAGGATGACGCGCCAAATTTGCAAAAATTGGCGTCAACCCCGTTGACGCGTGAACCGCGTTGTTGAGTGCAAACTCCGCGAGTGGCCAAAATTTACACCAACTCGTAAAAGAAGTTTCGTAACTTCAAAGAACATCTTGGAGGACCCAACTAACCCTCTCTGATTGCCCATCCGTTTCCGGATGGGCTGCTGTCGACATTTGCAGCTTTGTGCCAAGGAACTCGAACAATGACGTCCAAAAAGCAGATGTGAAACGAGGATCACGGTCCGAGACATGAATTTCTGGTAGACCGTGATTACGAAACGCAGTGTCAATGAAGTGCACCGCGGTCTCAGCCGCGGTGATCGTTGCATGAACAGGCACCAGATGTGTCATTTTGCTGAAACTGTCCACAAAATCCAGATTGCATGTTCGATCGTGGAAATAGGGAGCAATCCCGAAGATAAAGTCCATTGAAACTGAGCGCCAAGCCTCAGCTGCAATCGAAAGGGGTCGCAGGGTTGCCTGCGACGATGGAGATGGCTTCACGTGCTGACATATTTCGCAGGTGCGAACCCAGTTGCGAATCCACTTGTACATGTGGGGCCAGAAGAAGTCACGTGAGACAGCCGCGAATGTCTTTTCGCGGCCCAGATGACCGCCAATCGGGGCATCATGGTACTCGTGGGTGATTTGAGCACGCGAATCCAGGTCATTCGCAATCACCGTTCGAGGTGCATCGATCTTATCGATGCTGTGTAGCAGCAAATTACCATCTATACTGTGTCGTTGAGTGTGTTCACGCTTCGTTCGCGTAAGAGCTCCCAGTGCAGCATCACTGGGAGCGCGGAGATAGGCAATCATGTCCGCGTAATCCGGATCGTTCGCGTAAGCCGCGACAATTCCATCGTAAAGGCATATCTCGGGTGTGACCCGAGTTAGATTCAACTACACACACGTCGAACATCTTCATCTTCGTCTTCAGTTACCTGACGAATCAGTGCCATACGAGGATCGTAATCTGTACGTCATGACAGTGCGTTAGCAAGAGTGTTAGTCTTGCCTGGCTTGTAGTGCACGACGAAGTTATACTCGGAGAAGAAAGAGAGCCACCGTGCCATCCGTTGTGACAGGTGTGGGCTCTTCATCGCTGTTCGCAGCGATGCATGATCAGCATACAGGGCGAACGTGCGTTCGCCCAGTAGGTGGACACGAACTTTGATGAGTGCGTAGCGCTTAGCTAATAGCTCCTTATCGCGGTCTGGATAGTTCTTCTCTGCCGGCTTGATCTGTCGTGATTGGTAACTCACGACTCTTTCACGGCCCTCATGACAAAACTGCATGAGGGCGCAACTATTTGCAAAGTCACTTACATCACACACCACTTGAAACGGCTTGGTGTCGTCAGGGAGTATTAACACTGGCGACGACGCCAGGCTTTTCTTCACTGCGTCAAAGGCTGCTCGATGTTCGGCACGCCACGACTACGTGGCGTCTTTCTTCAGAAGTGACGTCAGAGGCTGTATAGAGCCGGCGTAACCCTTTGTGTACTTGTGCAAGAAATTAGCTAGACCGTGCCATTGACGCAACTCCATATGATTCTTGGGTGTGGGCCAAGAACAGATTGACGACACCTTCTCTGGATCGGCTCGAACTCCCGATTTAGTCACGTAGCATCCCAGCACCGGAATCTACGGTGCAAAGAGTACACACTTCTTCAAGTTTGCATACAACTTGTTGTTCCGCATGACTTGAAACACCTGCTTCAGGTGTTGAAGGTGAACTTGGATAGCAATGAGGTTGCCCTCAGCGCGACTGTGACAAAAATGTCATCGAAGTAGCTAGGAGCAAAGTCTCGAAGCGGTCTTAACACTTGAGATATTATGCGATTGAAAGGGGCTTGTGCGCTCTTCAATCCTTGTGAAATCACCAGCCACTCCCATAGCATACCACTCGGGGTTCTCACCGCAGTGAGTGGTACGTCACTCTGTCGCACCAAGATCTGGTAGAAGCCATCGGTAAGATCGATGGCGCTGAAGATGAAGCTACCTGGCATGGAGTTTAGAACCATGCCTTCCCTGGGGATGGGCGTTTATACAGGATTAGTGGCATCGTTTAGCTGGTTAAACGCATGCACTATACGCCAGCCCCCCGTAGCCTTCTGCTCGCAGAAGGTTGGACTAGAATGGGGTGAGACACTGTCACGCGCATGAACGGCCTTGCGACAATCTTCAAAGAATGCATCAATAGCCTAGACTTGGTCCAGAGGCAACGGCCACTGCCGTGTCACACAATATTTTGATCCTGGCACAAGATCAATCTCGTGCCGCACGCCACGATCGGCAGGAAGTTCAGCCGGAATCTTGTCCGGGAACACGTCGGCGTACTCTCGAGCAATGTCGTAGACAGGGTTACCAGACTCGAGCAGAGCCTCTTAAGATTGCGACACAAATATTTCTTCGCGTGCTGACTTTTGTACAGCGCTTCGAGGGCGCGTCATTCGCTCCTCATTAGGCTCATAGGTCACCTCGTTGGTGACCAGACATACTTGTACTACCGTGCCTCCCTTGAGGTCGCGTAGAAAATGCTTCTAGGAGAGTCCTGGAAGGCTCGTAGTCGACGACGCGTCGCGAGGTGGACTCGCGACCTCAATGTATTGGCGCTTTTGTGGAATCACGTCCACGTACACAATAGCCTGGACACATTCCAACGCTGAGTTCTCGTACTTTGCATCCCCATCGTGCTTCGAGTCTATGCTCGAAGCTGGCGAACCGCAGTCAGGTGATAAATCTGCATCCCTCCTCTAGACGCTGGGTGTCCTCATGCAGGACGTCGAAACCGCGCGACGGGAGTAGTCCATACTCGTCTGTCGACGCATGATGCGAGAGCCCATGTCTGACCGCCACAAACGCGTGTGGGATCCCCTGCTCGACCACGTCTTGCTCATGTGGAAACATCTGTTCTACCACAGTGGGCGATGATGGGAACCTCTGTTCTACCATCATGTTCGCACGTGGGGACTCTTGTCCATCCACGTCACACTCTGTGGCGAGCCCCTGCTCGGCCACATCTTGCCTTTGTGGGAGCCTCTGCTTGACCACAATGGGTGCAGGTGGAAACACCTGTTCGTGTTCGACCACTGCTATATCGTGCGGGAACTTCTGTTCGACCGCGTCGTCTTCGCGCGGGAGCCACTGCTCGTCCGCGTCGTCATTACGCGGGAGCCACTGCTCGTCCACGTCGGACTCCTCGCTGCAAAGCGAGGAGATATCGGCTTTCGTACGTAGTGGCACGGAACAAGCGATACAGAGAGGGCCATCGCTCACTCTGTGTACCGCCGGTGTAGTGGATGTACTATCCATGGATGTAACGTTCGGCCAATCGCTTAAAGTCACCAAGAGATGGTTGAACACTTCGCTGACGTCGAACTTCCTAGACGTCTCACTGATCTGGTTAACCAGTCGATCTGAGGCTTGTAGAGTGCCAACCATGGCATGCCCAGTATGCAATCGAATGCATAATTCATCTCAATTACCAAGAAATTGTCGTTACTGCGATAGCCGTCAAACGTGTACGGAAACGACACTTCGCGCCGCGATACGCGGCGTGGTTTCCTGTCGGCGAGCTTGACAACAACTTGGCCAGGTCACTCGTGGACCTGGATGCTGGGTGGCAGCATTAACACGCAAGATTCACGGAAGAAATTGTTTGTGGCTCCTGAATTCAGTAGCGCTCGTAGAGGTCGCCGGATACCGGCGACATATAGATAAACGATAATCAGTCGTGAATTACCACTCGTAGTGGTGGCATTTGACCGTGCACGCATCACAGATGGGCTAGGAGGTCGGGCTTCCACCGGTGGACCCGGACCTCCCGTCAAACCAGTAGGCCGCCCTGCACCTACTGATCTCGTCCGTTTTTTGGACGAGTTAGCGGAGCACCTCCCTTATGATGGGTGTCCGTCGCGTGTACCGACATCGGTGCTGGCGCGCGGCATTCAGCCGCGCGATATCCCGGCTTTCGGCATCGAAAGCTAATCAACTGGCGTCCGCTACGGACGTCGCCCTTGTAGAACGTAGCGCGTCGTCGGTCACTCGACGACTCAATTGCATCTATCTCCATATGTTTCAGGCCCGCTGACTTGACATCGGTAACACTTGAAGGCTTGTTATAGGCCTTGGTGACTCTGAAGTCCTCACGGAAGGCGATAGCGAAAGCCTCCTCCAACGTGGCAGGCTCCGCGCGTTCCAGCGATAGGCAAGTCTGCCCTTCACGCATGCCATCAATAAACACATTCACTTGTGTGTACTTGTCCGTGGGATGCGTGACAATGCACGACGCCAGATGTCGAGCCATCTGCACGTAGTCGCGCATGGGCATCTTACCCTGTCGCAAGGACAGAAACCTTAAACGCACCAACAGCTCTTCCTGTGGCGGCTCGAAGGCGGGTCGAAGGTCACTCTGGATGGCTTCCAGGGTGAAGAACGCATACTCGTCCACAACGAAATTACCGAAAAAAATTATTTTTTTTATAACTTGAATTTACTTAATTTCAGATTTTATTAAAAAATCAAAAATTTTATAAAATCTGAAATTAATTAAATTCAAGTTATAAAAATAAACTTTTATTTTAAATACTTTTTAATAAAAAGGAATTTAAATAAAAAAAAATTATAAAAATAAAAGAAATAAAATATTTATTAGCTTTACCTATACTTGATTAAGTTAATTTAATAGTAATACTAAAAATCATTTCAAAAATTTGTTGAAAACGTGTTGGAATAAATTTGGTTTTTTATATAAATAGAAATATATAAATAAACAAAAACTATTAATAAAATTGAAGAAGCAAAAGTAAATCCAAAAGGTATTTGAAAACAAGTCATTCAATTATTACATTTACTTTAGCTTTAACTATTTATATTGGTTTTAATTTAATTGGTACTAAAAAACATAAATTAAATTTTTTGAATAAAATATTTTTTTCTTTTAAACATATGATTTTCCAAGAAATTTTTTTAATTTTGAACTTATTATTCTTTCCCAGTGAGACGGGAAAGGAGGAAGTTTACCTTCGTTTGAGGAGCCTCGAGAAGTTTCGGGGTGATAGCGATGTCAACTTCTCGAAACCGACGCGACAACGACAAGTGTTTTTTTCCTTCGCCGAGTAGACGGAGGTCTCCATCTTCACGGCAACATTCCGTGAAGTCCGCGAGGGAGTTAAACCTCGCCGATTGGATTCGGCGAACTTGCAAGCCATGTAGTCGTGTATGGCGAGACGCTGTCCATCAGGAGTCACTGATTTCATCAGCGACACAACGAATGCCTCTCCAGATATCGCCGCGAGGCGATTTAGGACATCCCACTCAACAGCAGTGAAATGCGGAAAATTCGCATGCCCCAGACTTACTTCTGGAGCGCCAAAGTACGACGAATCGCTCATCCCAAACTCGAGCATGGGAAGGACTACTAAGTACTACCAGGTGTAACGGGGTCAAAACAGACGCACTAAGCTTACACTATTCTACGCTTTGAGGAAGCCTCAAAGCTCAAGTCTTAGGTATTAAGTACTTTTGACTCTGTTTCATATTTTGTCTTTTAATCATTATAAGTACGATTGATTACCTTGGACTGATCAGAACCACTTTATCTACGTACCTATATCTTACTGGCTAAAAATGGTACTAAGCCCATTAAACCGGCAAAAATATACGACTTGCTACTTTCTCTACTTCGAAAGTAACACCCCTTCTTAAGTAACATGTAAACTTAATCGAAACTACTTATGTAACGGGGTGGCCCATTACAAAAATAGTGTTGTTTAGGATGAACAGCATGTCGAGGCAAGATCGAATAACAGAGAGTCGATCGTAGAGCAAGCCTGATCGACTGAAATAGAGTCGATCGAAGTGGACATGACTGTGGTAGTGCACCCACAGTCAGTACACATATTGTAAGAAAAAGCTCTAGCTTTTCTGATGTTGATAACACCCGAGAGAGTTATGCTGAGGGTGTGTTTTTCCCCTAATTATCTGCGAATGTATTTTCCCAGGAAATCACCGAGACACTGAATGTCATGGTGAATGACGGATTAAGTGTAGGCGCTTATACACTTGATCTGGTTACACTTCCGACGTCAGCTCCGGAGGTAATCAAGTTGCCTACGCTAGAATCTAAAATTTTATTTGCGAGATCTGCGTAGTGACAAGATCAAGCAGATCTGTGTACTCGTTACAGAGAACGAGTACGTCGCCGATATTCGGTCTGCACAAGTTTTACTGGGAAAGAACGGGTTCTCAGTAGCTCATCTATGGATGAGAGTGTCCTCGATCAGAAGACCCGGATTGAGCGATACACGTCTTAATCTTAGGAGTCTTTGGATACGAATCCTTTGTACAAGGATTCGGTTGAATTCAGGGATTTTTCCTAAATCCGTGCCATGCGAGCTGCTTAAAGGCAAAGGCACTCGACATGAGATCGAACTGAAACCCGGTTCGAAATACTGTGTCATGAAGCAGTGGCCAAAGCCTCGTGGACAGGTCACAGCGATCGACATTTTCTTTGCCGATCGTTTAGCGGCTGGTCATTTGAGGGAATCAACACCCCCACACAGCTTTCTGACCTTCTGTGTGCGAAAGGCCACAGAAGAGTGGTGGATAGCGCATGCGCTCAACAAATTGAACGCTGCAACGGTACCGGCTCAAATGCCGATACCGGGGAACGACGTCATCATTGATGGTATGGCAAAAGTACCATCTTTTCATCCAAGGATCTGATGGATGAATTCTGTCAGATCCTCATGCGTGAACGGGACATCCCGTACACAACAGTGAGCACCCCCAGTGGTATGCTCTGGGAGTGGCCAGTGATGCCACAGGGCTAAGTAACGCCCCCGCAGCGTACGACCGATGTGTTACGAATCTGTTAAGACCGGTGCGAGATTTTGCACCGAGTTACTTTGACGATTTCTTCGTCCATAGCCGGGATATCAATGGAAAGACGGACGTGGATGTCCATCGAATCCACTTCCTGGCGGCTCTTAAACTAATGCGAGAGCATAAGTTGTTCGCGAACCTCAAGAAGTGTGTATTCGCAGCGATAGCAATACCACTTCTTGGCTGTATCGTGGGTAAAATGGCGTACCCCTGATCCGGAAAAGATCAAGGTGATTAGCAACTGGTCCGTGCCAGTTGACGTCAAGGGACTTCGAAAGTTCTTTGGCTTAGAGGCGTACTTGCACAAATACTCGCGCATCTACGCCGAGATAGCCGCATTTCTCTTTCTTCTGCTAAAGAAAAACGAGAGTTAGTCATGGAGTGCTGAGTGTCAGCATTGCTTTGAAGGCATCAAGAAAAGCTTGATACAATCGCCTGTGTTGGCGATTGCAGACCAGGACAGACCATTCCATGTGGTCTGTGACGCCAGCGTTTTGCGATCGGCTGCGCGTTAATGCAGTACGACTCAGACGGCGTTGAGCGCGTCGTTTGCTATCAGTCGCATCAGCTACAAGCAGCTGAGCGTAACTACCCAGTGTATTACAAGGAACTCCTTTCTATGAAATACGCTCTGGCTAAGTTTCGGTTTTATTTCTTAGGAGATAGGTCCTTCATCGTTTATACCGACCATGCGTCATTACGGACGGCCGTAAACAGTCCACACCTCTCGCAACGATCGTCGAGGTGGCTGTCTTTCTTCGCGTAGTACAAATTCTCCGTCAAGTATAAACCAGGCCGACTTAATGTCGTCGCTGATGCTCTTTCGCGTCGGCCCGATTTTCGAGCCGACCGCTCAACCCAACAGTAGGGGGTGATACCACTGTAGCAACACTTACAGTGAGTGTTCCGTCATCGAATCTGCTCGACGACGTGCGGAAGGCATACACAGAAGATTAGTTTCTTCTGCGATTGATGGATTACGTGTCTAATCCATGCAGTCAAGCTTTGAAAAGCTTGTCGTCTTAATACCTCTCTTCAACCGAACGGCATTCGGTTCGTGATGGACTGCTGTGCTGTACAGCAGTCCACGGCGACACAACTCGAGTCGTCGTTCCCGCTTATGATGATTTGCGATTGCGCATGATGTATGAGTGTCACGATGCCCCAACCAGTTGGCATCGCGGTAGAGAAAAGACTTACCTCACGGTAAGTCGTGACTTCTACTGGTTCCGCCACTATGAGTTTTGCGCAAAAACATTCGCACTTGCGAAGTTTGCTAGCGGGTGAAGCCTATTCATTCATCCCGTGCAAACTTGCAGACTCTACCGATTCCGGCAGAGTGCTGGCAGTCCGTATCGATGGACTTCTTCTTTGGGTTTCCCAAAGACGCTCACAAGAATACTGATATTCGTGTGTTTGTTGATCGGTTCAGCAATATGGTACATCTTGTTTTTGTACCGGAGTAAATCACAGCCGCCCAGGGCTGTGCTCGTGTCTTCATCGATACTATCTTCCGACTTCACGGGTTACCCCGCGAACTCTTGTCCGACAGGGACCCCCGCCTCACAGCGGAGTTCTGGTAATCCATGTTCCGTTCACTTGGAACACGTTTGAAGATGACAACTTCCGACCATCCAGAAACAGATGGTCAGACGGAACGCTTCAGCCGCGTCCTCGAAGAGATACTTTGAGGTTATGTCCACTCGTTAGCGAGTTGGAACGAGTTCGTGCCGATGGCAGGATTGCCATCAACAACTCCATGCATGCGTCGACAACGCGTACACCGTTCTTCGTGACTGGCCTACGCCATCCACGTTTGCCCACCTTCTTAGAGTTTGACTCTAGTTTGAGGGGATGGGGGTGGATTCGCTCGAACGAAAACCGACCTAGTTCTTGCTAATCACGCGTCGACAAAAGAGTCGACGAGATGGATGCCAATGTTAATCAAATTGACACCGATGACGATGATGCCGACGATGCTGGTATATTCAGCACCGCCAACGACCGCCAAAGTGAGGGCGATGATACCCTCACTTGTGAAGACAACGTTCTTTTGGCAGTGCACACGAAGCGAACTGCTGTAAACAAGGATTGATCTGCAGAGGGATTTCTGCTGACTCGCGTAGCGGTTATTCGTTCCATTTCAGACTCTGTTGCAGACGCAAGAGACAGACAGAAAAGAAACGCAGACAAACATGGAAGAGCAAATGTTCTTTCTTTTAGTGAAGGAGTTTTAGTTTTACTGTCTACAGTAAATAAACCAAAACACGCAGTGACAAACGTGGGCAGTAGTATATAACTGCCCAAGTTTATCGGTCCATATCGTGTGTCGCGCCGAATAAGCAACGCATGCAGTACAGAACTGTTTCGCAAAATGCGTACGCATCCAACGTTCTACGTTATACGTCTCCGTCCGTACTATTAGTACAAGCCCGTTTCGAGAGG